TTCCTTGACTTTCTTGACCATTTGTGCCCCCCCGTTTCCATTCATCGCCCCACCTGCTTGGAAATTCTTCGTTATAAAGTGATCTGCTACAAGGTGCAGGTGCGGTGGGTACACCAGGGCCCTCTGTGCCTTTGATGCCAGCCGGCCTATCCGGGAGAGACACATCAGTGGCGACGACTTGAACACCACCGCCACGTCAGCATTCCGATCGGGCTCTTCGCCAGTAATAGTCTCTTCCTTGCTACCTTCTATTTCTCGCCCTTCCTTCCCTTTCTTCCCCTCCACCTCTTCCTCGCCTCCCCTACTTCCCAGGGCCACCATCGGCTCTTCCCCTGGCAGCACTGTAGCATCTCTGTCCTTTACCAGCAGGTCCTCGGCTCCGGGCGGCTTGGCTCGGCGTTTAGTGGTGCAGGTGCGGGTGCAGAGGGCGGGAGAGAGGAGGGCGCGGTTAAGGAGGAGAGAGGCATTGGAACGAAGCTCGGCATTGGGCTGCAGGCCGGGCGTGTTGGTGTTGCGCCCGACCTTAGCGTAGGACGCTCTCTACTGGAATGGAAGAGGGGGAAACGGGGGGGAAAGGGGGGAAGGGGTGGCGGAGGGGGAGAGGAGGGCGCGGTTGAGGATGAGGGAGGCATTGGAACGTAATGTAGGGTTGGGCTGCAAGCCCGGAGTGTTGGTGTTGAGACCAATCTTGGCGTGGGATGTTTTCTACTGGAAAGGAAGAGGGGGAAAAGGTTGGGAGGGGGAGAGGAGGGCGCGGCTTAAGAAGGGATGGGCGGAATGAAGGGATGGGCGGAATGAAGGGATGGGCGGAATGAAGGGATGGGCGGAATGAAGGGATGGGCTGGAGCCCGGGGGTGGTGGTGTTGCGACCGATCTTAGCATAAGATACCTACTATGGGAGAGGAGGAACGGGGGAGGGGGAGATAAGGGGAAAAGGAGAGACAAGAGGCGGAAAGGGGGAGCACCAAATGCAATTCGAGGCGGCTCACCTCAAGGCATGGAGAGACGGGGATGGGGGGGGGCGCGGGGGAAGGGCGAGGCGGGAGACTTCTTACCATGAGACAACGGACTTCTCACCTGAAGCCGCACACAAGCGCGCCTACCTGGCCATCCATGACCCCCACCACACGAAACGAGAGTGGCACCCCGTGGCCCCCTGTGGCACCCCGTGGCCCCCTGTGGCCCCCGTGGCCCCCGTGGCCCCCGTGGCCCCCGTGGCCCCCCTGGCCCCCCTGGTCCCCCATGGTCCCCCCTGGCCCCCGTGGCCCCCTGTGACCCCCGTGCCCCCCGTGCCCCCCGTGGCCATCCGTCAGCACGAATGACTGAGCCCGTCGTCATGCAACAGCTCACCCTGACCTGCACCCTGACCTGCACCTGATCTGCACCCTGATCTGCACCCTGATCTGCACCCTGATCTGCACCCTGATCTGCACCCTGATATGCACCCTGATATGCATTCTAGATAAACCCCGGGCTGAGTCAAGGCCTGGGCAGGCACCCCAAGCCATGGGCCGGCTGTACGAATGCCACGCCCCCTTGCCCCGTTCTCGCTTCCCCGTTCCTGCCATCCCCCAGCAGCATCGCCACCACTCTCCATTCCATATATACACCTATATACCCAACGCCGTTACACCCATTATCACCCCTGCATACCCCACCACGTCACATCCCTACCACAGCATCATACCTACCTACCACATCTCATTCCTTCATCTTGCTATCCCCCAACACCAGCACTCCCTTCCCCACCCACCGCATCACACCCCTTATCACCACACCACACCCACCACGTCACAAGCCTTCATCTTATTATCTCCCAGCACCAGCGCCACCACACTCCCCTCCCCTCGCCCTGCTGCCTGCCACGCCGGCACCACCTGCCCATAAAAAAACTCCTCCGAGACCCACGGCACAAACTGCCCGAGGCTGCCCGGGTCGAAATAAGTGCAGAAGGGGAAGGCATAATCTGCTACAGTGCCGATCCGGCTGTTGCCAACGGACGGCAGGATGAGGGTGCGACCTGCATGGAGCGCCACAGATAGCACCTCCCCCAAGTGCAGCCGAGCCTTGCTGAGCTGCTCGTAGAGGCGACCCACGGATATGAACTTGGCGGATAGTAAAGAGGCTGGGAGGAACAGAAAAGGTACGGCAAGGGGAAGTGGGGTGGGGGGGAGGAGGAGGGGGGGGAAAAAGGGGGGAAAGGGGGGGTCGGGGAAGGGGAGTGGGCGAGCTCGTGTATTAGAATGCTCGTGTATTAGAAAGTACGGCGTTTCGTAGAGGCGAACCACTGATATGACATTGGCGGTTGAGAGAGAGGCTAAGCGACATTGATGTGGGGGAGAGGAAAGGGAGGGGAGGGGGGAGGAAAGGAGACGGGGGGGGGGGGAGAATGGATGTGCACGTGTACTCACAGGGATCGATGCTGTCAGAGTATGAAAGGAACGTCATTTTCCCGTAGGTGATTTTTTAGTTGACTTAAATATCACACGAGAGGGGCCGCAAGTCGACTCACAGGGATCGAAGCTGTCAGAGTAAGGGCGAGACGCCATTTCCTGCGGACAAGTGTATGAAAGCGGCGAAAATTCCGCGAAGCCGTCATTGCCTGCTCCCGCTCCTCCCCCATCTGACTCGCTGGACGAATCTCCGCCCTGCGCTGCAACGAGCTGGTGTTTTACATCGAATGGTGGTCCTATAACGAGGATGGCTGGGATCAGAATAACGGCGGCCTGAAGGCGCAGAAGAGATCGGCGAAGAGTGGACATTACGAGTTGCTTCCACTGGTTGAAGACGACTTTTGAAGTCACGAGTTACGACTTTAGACGTCACTTTAGACACTTCCAAAAGTGGGCATAACGAGTTCCTGACACTGGTTCAAGAGGAAGACTACTACTGTAAACACGAGGAAGCTAAGCGAGGCCTATCACGACAGTATGCCGTTCTAAGGCGGCCGCGACCCGCGATTCCTTAATACTGCTGTAGGCCAAGCGGTTACCAAACGGTCTCTATTTGTATGCCCGAGGCCGTTGGCCTCGGTTGTCACACTACTACGTGTTGGAATGCGGCAACCTTCATCAGGCAGCGAACACAAGACGATCAACCAATCATCCAGCCTTCGTCGGCCTTAGAGGTGGGTCAACACAAGACCATCAGCCTCGAGTAGCTGGCTGATCATTGATCTGATCAATCAATATGTAGGATCAGCTGCAGGATAATTTTGAGGGAGTGTTCCTGTCCGGCACCAGGTTCTGAGTAGCGTTTACTGTGAGTCGGGAGGAACTGGAAGTCGGGAGACACTGGAAGTCCAAAAACGGAATTGAATTCCGCATAGAACCGAAGCTTGAAATCCCCAAATTCACGAGGCAGTTCAGCAGCACCGGGTGTCAATTCTCGAGATTCATATGAGACGAACCTGAAATTTATTTGACACCTCGGTTTGTTACATTTAAACGCATGTTATTTTCTGGTTAAAAATCTGCATGTCACGGAGCTATGGACACTCCTTAGTCAGCCCGCCTGTTTCTAATTTCTGGGGTCTGCTCACTGCAGCGCAGAGCTAATCAGAATTGTGCGACTTGCTCCACGGCATTCCCTAGCTAGTAGTATATTATTTGGGAGCAACGAGTTGACTATTCGGGAGAACACGTTATACCTGAGCTCTTCTCCCCATCGCGGCTTTCGCCTCCGCCTCACAGCTGATCTAGAATTTACCGCAGCGAATATTTCCGCTGCCTCCCAGTTACAACCGGAGTACTTCGCAGCACCAGAGACTGTTACGCTTTCAGCAAGCGCACCAAGTGTTGTCGCTAGTCGCGAAGTCGTGAACTCCCTAGGTCGCATGGGCATGGCGGACGCAGGGTCTCTGAGGGAGCAGGCGAAGGAGCTGATCGACCGTCGCGACAAGCTCGAGGCTCAGATCGACGCGATCGCTGCGAGATTGAACGCGCCTGGCGGTGGCGGAATCAGGGAGAGCCTGGTGGATAAAGAGGTGGGGATTTTAGTTCGTGAGGCTTAACGAAATTCCAAGGGGGATTGGAAGTGACTGAGAGCTGATGAATTGCCGCGGCAAGCTCGAGGCTCAGATCGATGCGAGATTGAACGCGCCTGGCGGTGGCGGAATCAGGGAGAGGCTGGTGGATAAGGAGATGGGGAGGATTAGTGGAGTAGGGTTTGTTTCTTTGTACTGGAAATATTATGAGGAGCCTGGAGTGAAGGGAAGCCGTGTTGTGGCAAAGCACAACGCGAGTTCTTCTTCGCAGGGCACATTCGCTTGAAAGGCCTTTGGTCACTTTTGCACACGAAGCGAGGCGAGCAAGCCAGTGTCACCAGCGTCACGAATTCCCCACTCTCTCTTCTTCCCCACTCCCCCTTCTTCCTCACTCTCTCTTCTTCCCCACTCTCTCTTCTTCCCCACTCCCTCTTCTTCCTCACTCTCTCTTCGTCCACCACTCTCTCCTTTACCTCAGGGCTTTCCACGGGCCGACATTGACATTCCTAAAGTCCGCACCGACAGGCACCGCCTCGCAAGTAATGCCCTCGAAACCTCCTCCCTCTGGTCTCAGCCTTGCCAATGCGGTTTGGGACACTGCAGTCCATGCTCAACTCATGTGCTTCATGTGCGCTTTTGCAGTTTGCTTGCGACCTTGTACTCCGTACTCCTGTGCCCTTTTGAGAAGTCTCACCTGTCCTCACTCCGCCCCAGCCTTGCAAGCTGTGCCTCATGTGCCCTTGCTGGACTGATTCCTTGGCACTTCTGAATTTCCCACCGTTCTGTACATTACCCTAACACTTTCGTATACCCACCCTCCTCCTATATGCCATCTTACTGGTTTCCCAATGCTTCCATTTAACTACCGCTTAATCGCAGCGCTCCACGCGGACCACAAACAGCTGACGGGGCAGATTGAGTCGCTGCTGCTGCAGATCCACGCGCAGGCCAAACCTAAGGAACAGACAAGGGCAAGCACCGAGGCGGTAACCGCACGGACTAGCCATGAGCCATCGGCCTCCACTCCTCCAACAACAAATGCCACTGAATCTGCTGCAACCAGCCTCACTTCAGCTGCTGCTGCTGCTGTTCCTGTTCCCGACACTGCTGTTGCTGCCAATAACTTCTCCATATCCCCGTGCACAGCAGCAACTACCCCTTCATCCACGCCCTTTGCAGTGGTGACGAGGTGACCCCTGGCAGCCCAGCAGAGGCGGATGGCGTGAAGCTGGGAGATAGGCTGGTCAGCTTTGGCTCTGTTGCTGCTGCTCAAATGGTGGAGGGTCGTGAGGGGGAAGTGGGAAGCAGGGTGCCTTCAGGGGCGGACCTGCTGAAGCACGTGGCTGCAGAGCTGCGGGGGAGTGAAGGGAGGGGGGTGAAAATGACGGTGGTGAGAGCAGGGAACGTTGTCGAGTTGGTGGTGACCCCGCGGCGATGGCACGGAAGAGGACTGCTCGGGTATGTGTTCTTATTGTTATGCATTGTTGTACACAATTGTAGGAGCTGTTTCTTAGGGGGCGTTTGTTTCTTCATGCATTCTTATCTCACACCTGTCTTACATGCATGCGATTCTTTCTTTATCCCCATGATCAGGTGCCACCTCTCCCCATTGTCTCGTGGAAGTTAAAATATGCTCGATTCAACAAGACCTAAATTTGGAGCATTATAAGTACAATATTGCACATTTATGGTTTAGACCACCCTCAAATCTGCCTCGATACGTTCAATATGCCATGTTTCTGTTCCATTGGAACAATTCTATAACGCGGAATTTCATTTTCGTCCAACGGTCATCCTCGCTGTGGCATACCACACCACCTTTACTCAGAGAGGATGCATCGAACCTGTTCCGACCGAACGACACGGACCGAGCTCAACCTCGAACGACCCCACGAAGCCAAAGCTCCAGCAGGCTGTTTGTTTGCTGCCACCAACCAACCAACCACCACCACCCCAGCGACTATTTCATGCAAGGCTCAACCATTGTCGCCCTCTTTGCTCCAGTGGAGCCGTGCCGTGCTGTGCCGTGCCCGTTTTAGGGTTTCCGTCCCTCCCCTGCGAGGGCCTCTCCCCCGTGAAAGGGTTTCGTTTCGTCTCTCGCCCTCTCTGGGTTTCCACGAAGCACGTTCGGTGCTTTGGATTCCTCACTTCCTGCCTGTGCATTGCCTAGCCGGTTACCCGCGTCGTCGTCGCAGTTACTCCTTCCACGTGTCGCATTTTCTTCTCGCCGATCGGACGAGCATGGCGGGGCCAGTGGTGAAGGAGGGAGCGCGGCTGTTCCAGGGCGTGGAAAAGGACTCTCTGGCGTTCAAGCTCATGAAGAACATGGTGCGTCTTGCCGAACGACAATAAGGGACATGCTGCGCGATAGTGAGGGATGCGGCCGCGTTTCAGGATAGCGAGCGCTGCGCGTTTGTCTCGCTAAGTGTCGGAGAAAGGTAGCTTGTCGGTTTTAATGGCATTGCTTCCGGTCGTGCGTGTTTCCAGGTCTCCGCAAAAGCGGCACTACTCACACCGTCTGGTGCCACGTTCTTTGCTCTGTTGGGCGGTTCGTTGCTTACCGTTGATTTCCGCTCTGGATTTTGATCGCAGGGCTGGGAGGAGGGCAAGGGACTGGGAAAGAACGGCCAGGGCATCGCCACTCACGTCCGAGTAACGAAGAAATTCGACACTGCAGGTGCAGCGAGGGACAGATTCTAGTGGGAGGGAGTAAAACTTGGCTTGTTGACGCATGCCGTTTCGGTTCGCCATAGCCCCTCGTGCCTCGTCTCCCCTCTCTCCGTTGCCGGCCTACACACATTGCTGTGTGTGTCTGCTTTCTAGTGAACGTGGAAGGGTCAAAGAAGGATTTCCTCAAATGTGTGTCCTTTCCGTCCGTCCGTCGCGCTGATCTGTCGAAGCTTTTCCCCCCAACCTTCCCCCCCCCCCCCCCCCCCCCCCCCTCCCTCTCCTTTCCCCCTCCTCCCCGTTCCGCCCGCCGCCCCTCCTGTGTCGAATGTTTTATCGGCCATTGCCAGGCGTTGGAATCGCGGAGGCTAAAAAGGAATCGTGCAACTGGTCCGTGAATACCGCCGTCTTCGACGACCTCCTCAAACGCCTAAATGTGGTACAATTTATTCTCTAACGCTTACCTTTTTAGACAGATTCCGATCGGGTTTGCGAATGATGGATGGTAGAGCGACTCAGGTCCGAGAATACCGCCGTGTTCGACGATCTCCTCAAACGCCTCAACGAGGAACGCTTTAATCGATCGCCCTTGCTTCTGGAATTAATTGAAGGGACCAGGTTTGCGATTTCCGCGGCTCAGCGCGTTTTTATTTTCCTGTTTATTCATATGTTTGCAATGTCCAGTTACCATTCGAGCGCCAGCACTGTGTGCTGCGCCACCTTAGGGTTGGTTTCGTGTCAAGCAGGAGTTTTTGTGTTCTCTGTTCGTCGTGTTTCTCCACCTCTCCTGTTATTCTCATCCCTTTCCGCTCCCCTTTCCTGCTTCGCCTCTCCTCTTTTCCTCCCTCCTCTCCGTTTCCGCTTTTTCTGCTTGGCTTTCCTCCTCCGCTTCCAGGCGGTCAACGACAAAAAGAGCCGCCGGCAACAAGCGTCTGATTCTTCCGCTTCCGACTCCTGTAAGTTCGTTTGCTTGATCGTTTGCTTGTGAGCTTTCGAAATTGACCGCATTCTCCTGTACGAGTCTTGTTGTGCGATTTCCGGTGTGGCATTTTATTTTCTTTCTCTCACTCACCTCTCTCCCCCCTCTATCCGCTCTCCGCTCTCCGCTCTCCTCTCTCCTCTCTCCTCTCTCCGCTCTCTGCTCTCCGCTCTCCTCTCTCCTCTCTCCTCTCTCTTCTCTGTGCCGCAGCGGATGAGGAGTCAGAAGGGAGCATGGGCAGGAATGGTGAGGAAGGGGGGGAGACGAAGAGAATCAAGAAGACCCAGAAGGGCAAGAAGGAGAAGAGGAAGCAGGCGGAAGCGGAGAAGGAGGGGGAGAAGGAAGGGAAGGAGGAGGCAGGCTCGCCGAAACGGCAGAGGCTGGTGCGGCCGCAGGGCAGGTGAGGGATGCGAAGCAGGGTGGGCGAAAGAGGTGGGCTTTTTTTGTGAAAGAGGTGGTGCTGGTTAGGGAGGTAAGAGGAGGATACGCTTGTAGCTCTCACCTGGCCTTGCTTGACCCGCACACATACTGCGTGCGTGCCTTCCTTGCCATACCATTGCGTCCCACCCCATCCAACCCCACCCCACCACATGCCAACCCATGTCATCCTGCAGGTACCATCGCAGGGAGGCGGGCAAGTGCGTTAAGTCCTACTCCACCAACGACCTTTCGGCCATCCTGGTAACCCTCTTCGCCATCCTGGTCCGCCATGCGCTCAACCATTGATCTTATGCTGCCAACCATGTCGGCCGTGCTGGTTACCCTATTTGACATTGTGGTAACCATTTCCACCAACGTTGTAGCCTTGCACGGAACTGACCAGCTCTCCCACTCCAAACTCCCCCTCCAAACTCCCCCTCCCGTGTTTGTTCAGGGCTCTTTCCCCTCGCCTTCCCCTCCTCCGCCGCTCACTCCCTCGCTCCTTCCGCCTACCTCCGCGGCTTCTCCCTCGTCTCCGTCGCTCAACGGCCTCGGCTCCCCGCCTGAGGCACCTCCCACCACCACGTCTCCTCCCACCGCAACGGCAGCTGTACCCGGATCTGCAGCAGCAGCAGCACCAGCAGCACCAGCAGCAGCGCCGGGCAGAAAGCGCGTGGTCAAGTCCGCGTCAGACACCACTCTCTGTCGCAGCAGCAGCACCACCGCACTGAAGAAGAAAGCCGGCTCGGCCGAGCCTAAGAAGGGCGGGTTGTTGGAGCTGGAGTGCCAGAAGCAGTTTGTGTTCCCGCCGCTGCCTGCTGATTGGTGGGGCTCGAGGCTCGGGTTCGTGCGGGGGGCAGGCTCGGGAGCCGGGCGGCTGAGTAATGAGGGGGAAGGGGAGGGGGAGAAGAAGGCGGGGTTCAGCGAGCAGGACCAGGAGAACCTCTACAACCTCGTGCACGTATGTATCTATGTTGGGGTCTTCAGGGGGTTCTGTGGGGTTTCTGGGGGGCTGCACCATTGCTGTCCGAGGGTGAGGCGAGAGGGAGGGGGGGGGAAGAAGCGGGATTCAGCGAGCAGGACCAGGAGAACCTCTACAACCTCGTGCACGTATGTATATATGTCGGGGTTTTTGCGACTGCGCTGCACACTGTTATTCATCCCTCGTCCCTCCCTGCCTGCCTGCACGCTTCGAAGGCTTGATGGTCCGGCAGTGCGCTGCTCTTGCAGCGCGCATGCCACACACAGTGACCGTGGAGTTCAATCTGTCGTGCCACACCATTGCGCCGTGGCTCGTTTGAGCCATGGTGCCCCCGTGCTGCTGCTTCTGGCTCTGCCGCTGGCCTGCCATCCCATTGGCCGGCCTGGCACGCATGCTGCATGGTACATGTGCTTGGTGTTCATCCATACTCCTTGCTCCCTTCTACTTCTGCCATCCGCCCTTTTTCACCTCTCACACTCCTCTCCTCCCCTTTGTCTTTGTTTTCTTCCCATTGCCCTCCTACATACCCCCCTGTGCCGTCTGTTTCTCCCGTTGGCCCTCTCCCCACGACCACGCAACGAGGGGCAAGCACAGGGGCTGGGGATAGGCGATTCAACCCCTCCCCCTCTGCTGTGATTCCCTTCCTGCTCTGTTTGCCCCGCCTTGCCTGGATTGTTTCTTCGCTTCACCAGGACCACGCAACGAGCGGCAAGCAGGGGCTGGGCATCGGCGATCTGCCCAAGAAGGTGGCTGGGGCGCGGTGGAAAGGCACCAAGCACACTTTCGAAGACCTTGAGGAGGATAGCGAGGAGGGGGAGAGTGAGGAGGAGAATGAGGTAGAGGAAGTGGAAGAGGAGGAAGAAGCGGAGGGGGGGGAAGAGGAGAGCAAGGAGGGCCAAAGGATGGTTCTTGAGGAGGGGAGTGCTGCGGATGTAGCCGTGACGGGTGCAGAAGGTGCACTAATTACAACTCTTGCAGACTCGACTCGTGGTGATGGTGCTGGTTCGGCGGAGCAGGAGGGAGGGGAGAAGGAGGGGAAGGGCAAGAAGAGGAAGAGAGAGGAAAGGTCAAGGAAGGACAAGGGCGAGAAGACAGCTGTGGCTGGTGAACCGGTGGTGGGGAGTGCGGAGAGAAGAAGAGCAGTGATTGGGAAGAGATGGCAGCACAAGGAGAAGGCAGAGAAAGTGGAGGTGAAGGAGGAGGAAGTTGCAGAGGAGAAGGAAAAGGAGGGGGGAGCAGGTGGCAGGAAGAAGCCCAAGTCGAAAGGGGTTTCTGGCAGTGACCAATCGGATGGCATTAAGGGCGATGTGGGGTTGAAGACTCGAGTGAAGCGCGCTGTCAAGCAAACTCTGCAGAAGGTGGGCTGCGAACTGAACTGGAGCGAATGCCGCATGCCGTGTGCGTGCGTCGGGGTGCGCGTGTGTGTCGGGGTGCGCGTGTGCGTCGGGGTGCGCGTGTGTGTGCGCGCGCATGTGCATGTGCGTGTGTGCTGCTCTGCTGTCCTGGCTCTGTTGCATCACTCCCCTCCAAGTGTGCTCTCATTAGCAGTGATGAGCCCTTGCTGCTCTGCCGACTTGCTCCTCCACCTCCTGTGAGAAAGCGGCTGGGCAGGGCTCGGCCTTCCCACACTTACACCCTGCCACTCCTCTCCCCTGCCTTCAACTACACCATCAGGAGGGCGAGGCAGGAGTGTCTCTGGCGTCTCTGCAAGACACAGTGGGGAAGCAGCTGGAGCTGTCAAGGCGGAGAGGAAGCAGCTCGCCAAGATCATTGACACCAAGGTAAGGGAGGGGTTCGCATGGAAGAGCCTTGCACTTGAATTGAACGCCATGTGGCCAGCATCCATGTTGTTGGCAGCGTGTCATGTGACGATGCTGGTCAATGCCCAACATTCTTTCGCTCTCTTACTGTGCGTGTGTACGGTTCGTGTTGCAGCTGGCTGGATGGGGGTTCATCAATGTTTCTGCCGGCATGGTACAGCTACGCGCCTGACCGGCAGATACATGCACGCTCGCACTAAATATATACCTGCTATCAGGGCCAAGTAATGGCCTTCACTCACCACTATTATGGTCCCCTAAGGAACAGCAGCCAGCGCCCAATGTTGAGATACGTTATCAATGGATGCTATTGACTAGTGTGCAATGAACTCTTAGACGGATTGTGCAAATATTGCGCCACAATGCAGACTAAACAGTAGCAGTATGTGAAAAAATATATTGGCGCCTGGAACTGGTTGTAGCCAGCTGAAATGATGCATGAACTTCTGATCTGATGCCATTCCGATGCCAGAAGCTGCCATCAGCAACGTATCAAAACTTTTGACAGACCTCATAAAAAGGAGTCATCACGGTCCCCAAGTACCACCCGAATCCTCTAATGCCCAACAAATACCAAGGAGCACATTCTCCAAGGCACTTTCAAGGCCATCGCATGGGAGGCATGACTGCAGGGGCATGGGGACTGCTGCTCACGACTGGGTGTGCCCGGAGCTAGTGGATGAGGTGATATACGAAACGCTAACGCTTAATTTTTTTGACCGGGTGTGCATGGAGATTGTAGGATGGGGCGGCCAAATGAAGCGTGTCCAGTCGAAGTATGCTATGCAGGCACCTCACTATGAAGCCAGCCATCCTCCCCTTCCCGATCTGCCTCACCGGCCAGGAGGCATGGAGGCATCGACAGAGGCAGGTGGCTGGGACCTGCTCATGACAGGGGGTGATGAGCCCGGGTGAGGCGGCATGGGCATGCCTTGAGGCGAACCTCAAAACACAGCCAGATATTCTCCCCTCCCCCTCCCCCCTCCCCCCTCTGCCTCACCCGGTGGGGGCCATGGAGGCAGGCGGCTGGGGGCTGCTCATGACTGAGAGTGATGAGCCCGGGTGGGGCGGGATAGGCATGCCTTGGGGCGAACCTCAAAATGAAGTCCACAATCCTCCCCTCTCCACTCCCCCTCCCCCCTCCCCCTCTGCCTCACCGGGTGGGAGGCATGGAGGCAGGCGGCTGGGGGCTGCTCATGACTGGGGGTGATGAGCCCGGGTGGGGCGGCATGGGCATGTGGGCGGGCGGCATGCTGTGCATAGGAACCATGGGTGGGCGGTGGAAGAAATGTGGCGGGGGCAGCATCACCGGACCTGGTGGGGAAGTGGGACGGGGGATGCGAGAGAGGAGGCCAGTGGAATGGGAAGGAAGGAGTCACACTTGAGCTGAGTAGAAAGTCATTGGTGGAAGAACGAGGTGCAAGGAGGAAGGGGGAGAGTGACGCACCAGCGTGTGCGACCGACACCCTCATATTCTCCCTCATGTGACGACCGACACCCTCATTATTCTCGAAGCGAAAGTTACCCTTCATCGAAAGGATCACCTAGTGGCATCCCCATGGGGTAAATCTGAGCAGGCTTCCCTATGTGTGCTGCAGGAGACACATCATCACGAAGACGCACCTCACCGCATCCCCATGGGGCACACCTGAGCAGGCCCTTCTGCTGGGCAGACTAATCTCGAGATGGTTAGTTTGACGTAACACAAATGGAGGACTAATCTCGAGAACATTATCAAATGGCAGAGTACTAGTTTGCCCTGGCACAGCAATTCACATATGCTCACCTCGAGGCATTCCCATGGGGTACATCTGGGCAGGCCCCTTCTGCTGTGCTGGCATTCCCTGGCAGCGGTGCTCCCTGCTGCTGCTGCTGGCCTGCCTCTTGCTGCTGTTGTGCTTGTTGCTGGTCTGTGGTGGTTTGTTGTGAGCCCTCCCCCTGCTGCTGCTGCTGCTGCTGCTGCTGCTGCTGCTGCTGCTGTGACTGGTCCTGTTGCTGCTGAGGTGGCATCATCATAGGAGCTGGCATCATCTGGCATGGGAGACATGGAGCACATGGAGCACATGGAGCACATGGAGCACATGGGGCACATGGAGCACATGGAGCAAATGAGCACATGGAGCACATGGAGCACATGGAGCACATGGAGCACATGGAGCACATGGAGCACATGGAGCACATGGGGAACAAGGGGAGCATAGGACAGCCGGCCCAGCACGTAAGACAGCAGCACGCAAGACAGCAGCACGCAAGACAGCAGCACGCAAGACAGCAGCACGCAAGACAGCAGCACGTAAGACAGCAGCACGCAAGACAGCAGCACGCAAGACAGCAGCACGCAAGACAGCAGCACGCAAGACAGCAGCACGCAAGACAGCAGCACGCAAGACAGCAGCACGCAAGACAGCAGCACGCAAGACAGCAGCACGCAAGACAGCAGCACGCAAGACAGCAGCACGCAAGACAGCAGCACGCAAGACAGCAGCACGCAAGACAGCAGCACGCAAGACAGCAGCACGTAAGACAGCAGCACATAAGAGAGCAGCAAATAAGAGAGCAGCACGTAAGTCAGCGGCACGTAAGACAGCAGCACATAAGAGAGCAGCACATAAGAGAGCAGCACATAAGAGAGCAGCACATAAGAGAGCAGCACGTAAGACAGCAGCACGTAAGACAGCAGCACGTAAGACAGCAGCACGCAAGACAGCAGCACGTAAGACAGCAGCACGCAAGACAGCAGCACGCAAGACAGCAGCACGCAAGACAGCAGCACGCAAGACAGCAGCACGTAAGACAGCAGCACGCAAGACAGCAGCACGCAAGACAGCAGCACATAAGAGAGCAGCAAATAAGAGAGCAGCACGTAAGTCAGCGGCACGTAAGACAGCAGCACATAAGAGAGCAGCACATAAGAGAGCAGCACATAAGAGAGCAGCACGTAAGACAGCAGCACATAAGAGAGCAGCACGTACGACAGCAGCACATAAGTGAGTAGCACATAAGAGAGCAGCGGCGTAAGACAGCAGCACGTAAGACAACAGCACATAAGAGAGCAGCACATAAGAGAGCAGCACGTAAGACAGCAGCACATAAGAGGGCAGCACATAAGAGAGCAGCACGTAAGACAGCAGCACATAAGACAGCAGCACATAAGAGAGCAGCATATAAGAGAGCAGCACGCAAGACAGCAGCACGTAAGACAGCAGCACATAAGTGAGCAGCACATAAGAGAGCAGCATGTAAGACAGCAGCACATCAGCGCAAAGAAGCAGAGGGCGCACCAGAGGCAAGGGCATGCACGAGAGCTGCTCGTGCTGCCCTTACATCATGCACAGCCGCTCATGCGCCCCTCACCATCCCCCCCCCATGCAAAACATCAGGACAACCAACCCGCAGCACATAACGCACCTGCGGCATGGGCATGTACACGAGCTGCCCGTGCTGCCCATACATCATGGGCTGGGGAAGCCTTGCGGGGTGAACATCATGGGCATGCCTCCTGCCATGCCTTGCGGCATGCCTTGGGCATGGGCCCAGGCATGGGTGGCCGCCGTGAGCTGCAGGCAGGAAGGGGCGCATGCCCGGGGACATGCCGGGCGGGAGCATGCCTTGGGGCGGCATGCCTTGAGGCGGCATGGGCATGAATGCTGCTGGTGGCTGGTGGGGAAAAGGGAGGGCAGAAAGGGAGGGTTTAACAAGAGTGTGACGGGCGGGGAAGGGACGCACGGAAGGGACATGCCAGGCAGGAGCATGGCCATGGGCATGAAATCTGCTGATGGCTGGCGGGAGGAAGACAGGGCGGGCAGCGAGGATATTGTTCCATGGATGGACAACACGTGACGCAATAATAATAATAATAAAAAAACCTGTGAAAGAACAAAGAAAGGAAGAGAAATTTCTAGGTTCGTTACCAGAAGTTTTATGTGACACGAGACATCAAGTGTTCCTAAATATATATATTATATATATATATATATATATATATATAAAAAACGTGACGGAAATCAAGGGAGATTTAAACAGTGGTTATGAGAAGTTTTATGTGGAAAGGGGGGGAAAGGTGCACAAACGCCTCAACATTGTAATCTCGGAATGAAGTTCGCAAACGGCGATAATATAGTTAAGTGGAATGTTCAGCTGGGCCTCTAAAACCAACAGTCCATCCAGCCACAGGCAGCAACAAGCAAGCCTTGGCTTGGGCCCTTTTGCGCAACTCAAGAACGGGCTACATACCTGCTGCTGCGGCTGCCACTTGTTCAAGTCATTTTGATCGTGAAAACTGCCATCTTGCTGACCCTGCTGCTGCTGCTGCTGGCTGCTGCTGATGCTGCTGATGCTGCTGCTGCTGCTGCTGCCCGAATTGCACTTGCTGCTGGTGTTGCTGGTGAGGCTGCATGGGCTGCTGGTTGTGTTCCCCACCATCCCCCTGCGGCCCCTGCCGGTGCCGCTGCTGCCTGTCCTGCTGCTGCTGCTTCTGCCGCCGCTGGTGCCCCGACCTTGGCACGTGAGCCTGAAGCTGCTGCTGCTGCTGCTGCTGTTGCTGATGATATTGATGATTATAACCCTGGTTCTGGTTCTGGTTCTGGTTCTGGTTCTGGTTCTGGTTCTGTCCCCGCCCTTGCCCTGCAATCCCGCTCCTTGCCCCTCATCTTGCCCCTGCCTCCCCCAACGTCCCCAGAACCACTACCATCCTCCCCTTGCTTCCCCCTTCCATCCCCCCACTCCCCCCCCTCCATACCCTTGCTGTGGCAACAGAGGTTGCTGCTGCTGCTGCTGCTGCTGGGGGGAGGGCATATACATGGGCTGGGGAGCCACAGCCAATGGTGGCATGCCACCTGGCACCGAAACAGGGATGGGGATAAGGCCCCTGTCCCCCCCCCGCTGCTGCTCCCCCAACAGCGGAACCGGGGGAAGGCAGGGGAGGGGGAGCGCGGAGGCAGGGGGGGTGGGGCCGCCAGGAGTGAGTTGGGGGGGATGGGGAAGACATGGCGGGGGAGGGGGGAGGGAGAGCGGAGGGGAGGTAGAGAGGAGCGGGGAAGGGGATGGGGGCACCAGGGGCGGAGGGGGGTGCGCCAGGGAGGGGTTGGAAGGGGAAGGGGTGGTCTGGGGCGGCTGGAGGGGAGGGCGGAGGGATAGGCGGGGATGAAGGGCGGGGGGAGGGGAGGAGGGGCGGAAGCTGGCATAGAAAAGGTGGGGGTGAAGACCTTGGCGTTGGGGTTGAACTTGAACTCCTGGGGGGGGGGGAGGGGAGGGGGGGGTGGAAATGGGGAGGGGAAGAGGAGAAGGGAAGAGGAGAAGGGAAGAGGAGAGGAGTGGAGAGGGGAAGAGGTGAGGGGAAGTGGAGAGGGGAAGTGGAGAGGGGAAGTGGAGAGGGGAAGAGGAGAGGGGATGAGCTGCGATGAACTGATGGTGGGAAAAGGGGAGGGAGAAGGAAGGGCGGGAGGGAGGGAGGACGAATGGGAGGGAGAAGGAAGGGCGGGAGGGAGGGAGGACGAATGGGAGGGAGGGAGGGAAGGAGAGGAAGAGAAGCAGGGAGGGGTGAGGGAAAACAGGATGGAGGGTGAGAGAGAGGGAGGGGAGGATAATTTCACACCTTGGCGTTGGGGTTGAGGGTGGACTTCTTAGCAGCTGCTGCAGCAGGTGCCTTACTGGCGCCTCCTCCTGCACCCTCCACTGATTTTTCCGCACCCTCTGCCAGCGTCCCTGCCGCTCCTGCTTCTCCAATCACATCAGCACTTGCAGCAGCTGCCGCTGCTGTTACATTCCCTTCTCCTCCTCCTGCTGCGGTTTCTCCAGCATTTAATGTCTTCCCTTCCTTCTTTTTCTCTTCGCCCGGACTGCAGCTGCTGCCACCACCTCTGCTGCAGCTTCTACAGACAATACCTTCGGTACCAAAGCCTTGGCTGCTGAGGAACCAGCTGGCGTTGACGTGCAGGGTCTACCGAATGTGACTGGGAACGCGCCAGGTTGGACGGGGAAGGAGAGCGATAGGAGGTGGAGGGAGCAACAGCAGCAGAGACGGCAGTGGAGGAGGAGGAGCGGAGGAGAGCCGAGGCGGCAGAGGCGAGGAAGGGCTTGAGGTCGGGGGAGGAGTGGGAGCTCTCCAGGTAGGTTGGGGTGTTGCGACCAGACGAGCGACCTGCAGGGGGGGGGGGCGGGGGGGGAGGGGTGAGAGATTGAAACAGATTCGAGGAGGGAGAGGAGAGAGGAGGCGGGAGAGGAGAGAGGAAGCAGGGGAGGAGAGAGGAGGCGGGAGAGGGGAGAGCAGGCAGGAGAGGAAAGACGAAAGAGTAGGCATTATGCACTTGAAAGGAAATGCAGGAGCGAAACTGGTAGTGATGGTTTGCAGTGAGGGAACCAACAACCTTGATGGGGCTTTAAGGAGGAGGCAGGGGATGAGATAACGGGAGGAGGCAGGCAAGGAGATATCAGGAGGAGAGTTTTAAGAATTGTCAAAATTCAACTACAGCGGGAGGGAGAGGGGCTTACAGGAGGAAACAGGCGAGCGAGAATCAAACTGCTGAAGACACGGCCACCAGGCGAGCGGGTTGACACCAGTCAGCAACAGGCGTGGCAGACCACGGGTATTTGATACCAGCAAGACAGGCGTGTCAGAGAGGTGCGTAAGGTGGGAGGGAGGGAGTGAGTGAGGGAGGGAGGGAGGGAGGGAGGGAGGGAGGGAGGAGGGAGTGAGGGAGTGAGGGGAGATGCATACGCACAGCGGAAAATGATGGGAACAGGTTAAGATGAGAATAACAACGAAAACGGAACTTATGAGATGGCAAGACCAACTTGAGGATATCTGTATATATGCTAGATAAGCACCGCACTGCACCACACAGCACCTTGCCCAGCAGGTCGCTGCAGGACCGCACCCCCTCCGCCTCGTCCCGCATGCGCTGGCTTCGCTGCTTGAACTCCTGAAACTCCCTGCAGCAGCCAGTGCAGACAGTCAGTGATCTTGCAGGGTGCTTTTGAGAATTCTCAAAAACTCCCTGCAGCAGCCAGTGCAGACAGTCAGTGATCTTGCAGGGTGCTTTTGAGAATTCTCAAAAACTCCCTGCAGCAGCCCGTGCAGACAGTCAGTGATCTTGCAGGGTGCTTTTGAGAATTCTCAAAAACTCCCTGCAGCAGCCAGTGCAGACAGTCAGTGATCTTGCAGGGTGCTTTTGAGAATTCTCAAAAACTCCCTGCAGCAGCCCGTGCAGACAGTCAGTGATCTTGCAGGGTGCTTTTGAGAATTCTCAAAAACTCCCTGCAGCAGCCAGTGCAGACAGTCAGTGATCTTGCAGGGTGCTTTTGAGAATTCTCAAAAACTCCCTGCAGCAGCCAGTGCAGACAGTCAGTGATCTTGCAGGGTGCTTTTGAGAATTCTCAGAAACTCCCTGCAGCAGCCAGTGCAGACAGTCAGTGATCTTGCAGGGTGCTGTTGAGAATTCTCAAAAACTCCCTGCAGCAGCCAGTGCAGACAGTCCGGTTAGGAGAGGCCACGTGCAGGAGCGTGCACGGAGGGATGAGGAGACACGAGAGAGACGGGATGAGGAGTCACTTGAGACGGCATGAGACACGGCGATTATTAGCTTGTTTTGAGGCGCCTCAAAGGTAGACTCCTGTCATGCGGTTTTGAGGCGCCTAAAAGGTAGACTCCTATCATGCGGTTTTGAGGCGCCTCAAAGGTAGACTCTTATCACGCGGTTTTGAGGTGCCTCAAAGGTAGACTCCTATCACGCGGTTTTGAGGCGCCTTAAAGGTGAATCCTCCCCTAACACACCTTTAGCTTTTGCGCCTCAAACGAAGAATCCTCCCCTCACACACCTTTACCCTGTGTGACACAGATTCCCCATCCCCTCCTCCGCGTTAGGTCCTTGAGAATTCCCCTTTCCCCCCCTCTTCCCCAACCCCATATCCCCCACCCCCATATACCCAACCCCACCTCTCCCACCCACTCACCCTCCCCTCACCCTCTCCCTCACCCTCTCCCCCCACCCCCATGTCACACTCTACTCTCCGCACGCACCCCCCCATCTTCTCCCCCCCCCTTCCCCACCTCTTCCTTCATGTCTCGCCCACTTGCACACATCGTCCGACAGGTGTGGCACGCTCTGGTCCAGCTTCAGCGCTGGTAGGTTGGCGGTGGGCATGATTTTGTCCCTATTGTCCCCCCCACTCTCAGTTCCCCCCTCCCCCCCCCGCCCCACACACCCAGCACACCACCCCCCCTCTCACCCACCTGTACACATCATCCGACAGGTGTGGCACGCTCTGGTCCAGGTTCAGCGCTTGCAGGTTAGCGGGCGCATCGCTCAATAGCGGGGACATGAGAGGGGAGCGCCGGGAGGGGCTGCCGTGCACCTGGAAGAGACCGCCAGATGCAGCCTGGGGAAGAGGAGGGGAGGCGGACGGGTGGGGAAGGGGGGGATTGGGGGGGGGGTGGGGGGGAAAGGATATAGCACGCAGGTGAGGTGGTTTATGGTGCCTGGGAACTTGCCGGGAAGGGCTGCTGTGCACCTGGAAGAGACCGCCAGACGCAGCCTGGGGAAGGGAAGGCGGGGGAGCGGGAGAGATAGCAAGGAGGAGAGGTGTTTTATGCTGACTGGATGCCGGAGGGGCTGGGGCTGGCGCCAGAGGGGAGCGGAGGGATGGGTTGCTGTGCTGTGCTGTGCTCTGGGGGAAGAGATCGACTGAAGCAACATGGGAGCGAAGAGGGAAGGGGGGAGAGGAGGAGGGGGGGTAGCAAGCAGGGGAGGTGTCTCATGGTGACTGGGAAGAAGCCGGGAGAGGGGGAGTCCGCCGGGATGCCATGCGCCTGGTTGGGTCCGCCTGAGGCAGCCTGCGAGGAGAGGGGAGGGGGGGAGGAGGAGAGGGAGGAGTCAAGGAGGGTCTAGAGGGAGTGGGGAGGGGGGAGCGGGAGTGTGCTGCACAATTGACGGCCAAGCAACGGGATCGGCTGCAGGCACCTGGGAGTATTTTTCAGGCGCCTCAAAAATCTGCAGGCACCTGGAAGAGCGAGGCAGTGGCAGTTGACTTTTGAGTCGGCTCAAAAGACAGGCACCTGGAAGTGGCCGTCAGAGGCAGTTTGGCGGGAGAACCAAGGGGAAGCACGAGCAGCAAGGGGAAGCACGAGCAGCAAGGGGAAGCACGAGCAGCAAGGGGAAGCACGAGCAGCAAGGGGAAGCACGAGCAGCAAGGGGAAGCACGAGCAGCAAGGGGAAGCACGAGCAGCAAGGGGAAGCACGAGCAGCAAGGAGAGATGAGGGGGCATGTGGCGCATCCCACCTCAGAGCCCAACACACACCACGACCAGTCTCTTTACCTTGACTTGACGAGCAACCTGGGGTGCATGTGCAGGAGCCGGCTTGAGGGCATGCCAGGGAGGTCAGCAGCGGAGAAAACACTCCGTTCCCTTGACCGTCACTGAGCCTCGTTCCACCTCACCAAGCCACGATGCCGCCATACCTTAACAAACCAACAAGCCGCCCGACCTTGGCAAACCAACAAGCCGCCCGACCTTGGCAAACCAACAAGCCGCCAAACCTTGGCAAACCAACAAGCCGCCCGACCTTGGCAAACCAACAAGCCGCCCGACCTTGGCAAACCAACAAGCCGCCAAACCTTGGCAAACCAACAAGCCGCCCGACCTTGGCAAACCAACAAGCCGCCATACCTTGGCAAACCAACAAGCCGCCATACCTTGACAAACCAACAAGCCACCGTACCTTGACAAACCAACAAGCCACCGTACCTTGACAAGCCAACAAGCCACCGTACCTTGACAAACCAACAAGCCACCATACCTTGACAAACCAACCAACAAGCTGCCATACCTTGACAAACCAGCAAGCCACCGTACCTTGACAAACCAACAAGCCTCCACACCTTAACAAACCAACAAGCCACCGTACCTTGACCAGCCGCCTGGGGTGCATGCGCAGGCGCGGGTGCGAGGGGATGGCAGGGAGGTCAGCAGCAAAAAGACCTCATTTTTACCGTGGCTTTCACTGAGCTCTGTGCCTTGACCAGCCACCTGGGGTGCTACCGTACCTTGACCAGCTGCCTGGGGTGCTACCGTACCTTGACCAGCTGCCTGGGGTGCTACCGTACCTTGACCAGCCACCTGGGGTGCTACCGTACCTTGACCAGCCGCCTGGGGTGCCACCGTACCTTGACCAGCCGCCTGGGGTGCCACCGTACCTTGACCAGCCGCCTGGGATGCATGCGCAGGCGCGGGTGCGAGGGATGGCGGGGAGGTCAGCAGCGGAGAGAGCAGCACCGCTGGCAGACGAGGTGGACGACGCCGATGACGACCGCGACGCACCCACTGCCTTCCCATCCTTTGCTTCCTTCCCCTCCTTCCTTTCCTTCCCTTCCCTTCCCTCCTTCCCTTCCCTCTCTCCTTTCCCCTCCTTCCCCTCCCCCTTCCCATCCTCTGCTCCCTTTGCCCCTTCCCCTTTCCCCGTTCCCCCTCTGCTTCCCCACCCCCCTTCGTCTCCTCCGTTCCAACGCTTTCCCCCTTGGCCTTCTCTCCACTCTCCACCTCCTCTCCTATGCTCCCACCACCAGTGCCACCCGCAGCAGCTGGGCGGCAGATTCTGTCTGTTTCTCGCCCTTGTCTGGAGCGCCTTTACCAGCTGATTCGGACGGCACGCCCGGGGTTGGTAGCAGGGGGGCGCCTGCAGGTAGCAGCATGGACGCGGGGTTGGATAGAAGTGCACGAAAGATGAGAGGAAAGAAAGAGAGAATGGGGTGGGTGGGTCGAAGGAGAGGTGCCTGGGAGTAGCAAAAAGCATGGTTTGATTCGAGGGCAGAATAGATGAGATGAGAGAAGGATAAATATATGGGATAAGGTGGCGTAAGGATGTAAACGGAAAAGTTGGATGAAAGGTTTTAAGGTTTCGGGTTTTAGGGTTCTGTCTGGGCTGGGCATCACGAATAGCAGGGTGTTTAGGGTTTCCGGGTTCTGAGTTTTCAAAAACACCCTGCACAATCATGGGTTCTGGGCATCACGAAAAGCCTCATCGTTTGCCTCGTCCATATCATCATCGCATACATCTCCCCCCTCCCCCCTATCTTCCCCCCCTCACCCTCCCCCTATCTTCCCCCCTCACCCTCCCCCCCACCTTCCCTTCCCTGCCTTATCGGAAGTGGTGTGTCGCATGGCGTGTGGGTGCATCATCAGCAAAAGCCTCATCCCTTGCCTCCTCCATTTCATCGTCAATTCCACTGCCCAGAGCACACCTCATTCCACACCTATCGATCGTCACATGCACCTTATTGCTAGTGGAGAACCCCTCATTCTCTTCCCCCCCCCCCCCCACCCACTTCCCTTCCCTCTTCCCCCCTCCCCCATTCCCCTTCCCTCTTCCCCCTCCCCCCCATTCCTCTTGCACACCTTATCCGAAGTGGCATGCATGGGTGCATCACCAAACGTCTCATCGTTCGCTTCGTCCATTTCATCTTCCATTCCGCTGTCCAGGTCGGCTCTGCAGGGCATGAGGGGAGTGCGTGTGGGGATGGATTGGCGCGTGGAAGTGGATAGACACACTTTTTGAGGTGCCTCAAAAGTGGATGGACACACTTTTTGAGGCGCCTCAAGAAATCGTCTCATGCCTGCCGGGCATCAGGGGTGGGTGTGTGGGGATGGATCTGTGCATAAAAGTGCATTCACGCACACACCGATGTGCAAAGACACGTGCATTCACGCACACACCGATGTGCACAGCCGTGTGCATTCACGCACACACCGATGTGCAAAGACATGTGCATTCACGCACACACCGATGTGCACAGCCGGGTGCATTCACGCACACACCGATGTGCACAGACATGTGCATTCACGCACACACCGATGTGCACAGCCGTGTGCATTCACGCACACACCGATGTGCAAAGACATGTGCATTCACGCACACACCGATGTGCACAGCCGGGTGCATTCACGCACACACCGATGTGCACAGACATGTGCATTCACGCACACACCGATGTGCACAGACATGTGGATGCAAGGCCGGCTTTGTGGGGCATCAGAGAGGAGAGGGATGGCTTGGCTTGACTGCTTTTGAGTCGACCCAAATCCAGCCTGGACATGTGGATGCATGGGGAGTGCACGTGTGGACGCATGGGGGTGTACAATTGGATGCATAACGGGTGCACAAATGCATGGAGGAAGGAACAGAAATGGGGAGACAAGCGGAGGGCCCATAGGAGAAAAGGAACGAGTGGCCCTCGGAGGAGAGGGAGCACGGTGAAGGAGAGGGAGGACGGCGGAGGAGAGGGAGCACGGAGGAGGAGAGGGAGCACGGGGGAGGGGAGGGAGCGCGGTGGAAGAGAGTAGTGGGTTCACGTGTGAGGTGAGGCAGAGGGTGACTTCTGAGTTGACCCAATCCAGGTTTGCTCTGAAGTGCATTGGGGTTGCGCGAAGATGAATCGACGCGGGGAGTGTGTGGACGCATGGGAGGTGTACAATTGAACACATGGGAGGTGTACAATTGGACGCATATGCATGGAGGAAGGAATGGAAACAGGGAGGCAAGCACACGGGGATGCGAACACAGACAATAGGTAAGAGCGGCCAGCAGAGGAGAGGGAGTACAGTGGAGGAGAGTAGTGGGTTCACGTGTGAGGCACAGGGTGACTTTTGATTGAGCCGACTCAAGTTGAGTCAACTTTCGAGAGTTGACTCAAAACAAGGCGCACAAGCACGCAGGCACAGGGTGGTTTATGAGTCGAATTCTGAGAGTCGACTCAGAAACACACAAGCACACCGCCACAGGGTGACTCTTGAGTCGACTCCTCCCAAGGCACAGTGGGTTCGAATGTGACATGCACACAACACAAGCACAAACACAAACACAGAGGGATCCTTTGTGCTCTTCTGAGGCGCGTAACAAGTCGACTAACTCTAGACACTCTTGCACCTTGACATCATTCATGCCATGCCGTGCCATGCCATGCCATGCCATGCCATGCCGCGCACAAAAATCCCGCTGCAAACCTCTCTGCACGCACACTCGCGCTGTCCGCATAACAGACAAGTACTTGGGATTCAACCTACCCTCAATCTGAGGGCTGACGGACAGACATGCATGCACACACGCTCACCTGCCACCTCCTTTGCCCACCTGCCACCTCCTTTGCCCACTCACGCAGTGCGGATAACGGAGGAGTACTTGGTCTCCTCGTCCATGTCGTCATCGTCCCACGCGCTGTCCGCAGCACCCACCGCCACCGCACCAGCGGCACCAGTAGCACCAGCAGCAGCAGTAGCAGCAGCGGCAGCAGGGGAGTCACCACCGGAGATGGCTGCCTTGACAGCGGATGCTAGCGTGCGCGCTGCGTTGCGCAGGTGAAAGCCGCGTTCCTGAGGGGGAAAGGGGCGGGTGGGGGGTGGGGGGGGGTGGGGGGGGGTGGGGGGTGAAGAAGAGCGGGGGATGAGCAAGAAAACGCAAGTGTGTAATGAGTCGATTTTTGAGTCGACTCATTACACACTAGAGCCGTCCCCCACTCACCGTCTCCTTGTGTAATGAGTCGACTCAAAAATCGACTCATTACACACGGGTGGGGGGGAAGAAGAGCGGGGATGAGCAACAAAACGCAAGTGGTCCATTGCACTGCCCTGACAGGACAGGCTACCGTGCGAGCCCCACTGCGCAGGTGAAAGCCCCGCTTAGCTGAGATGAAGATGAGAGGAAGATGAGAGGAAGATGAGAGGAAGGTGAGAGAAAGATGAGAGGAAGGTGAGAGGAAGGTGAGAGGAAGGTGAGAGGAAGGTGAGAGGAAGAGAGTGACATGCACGCACGCTCAGACGCACCTATCCATGTCGCAAGCAGGTCACACACACGGACACATAACCATGCACACACGGCCATAACATAACCAGGCACACCAGGACATAAACATGCACACCCACACCACACCTCCGCAATGTGAATGTTCCTGGTGGGCTGCCACTCGATCTCCCGGGCAATCCTCTCTCTCTGCGTGGAGTGGACCTGCAGCTCTCTCACGCACATGCATGCGCACAAAACGCCCCCCCACCCCACACCCCACCCCCCTTCTTTTCCCGCCGTACCTTTGCAATGTGGAAATTTCTGGTGGCCTTCACCTCTCATGCGCGCGTGACAGGATTCTGGTTTTGAGGTGCCTCAAAAGTGGCCAGCAGCTCTCATGCACACCCATGCACATGTATTTGCACAAAACGCATCCCCCCCCCGCCCCCCCCCCCCTCATCCCCCGCCAGTAGTACCTCTGCAATGTGCATATTCCTCATGGGCGCCGACTCGATCTCCCTTGCAATCCTCTCAGCATAGGTCTGCAGCTCTAATGACCACTCACGCTCTCATGTATGCACGTATGTGCACAAAACGCCCCCCCGCCCCTTCCCCCACCCAGGACCTCTGCACTGTGCATGTTCCTGGTGGGCGCTGACTTGATCTCCCGTGCGATCCTCTCCGCATCGGCCTGAAGCTCCCATAACCAATCACGCACATGTATGTGCACAAAACGTCCCCCCCTCCCCCCTTCGTCCTCGTACCTCTGCGATGTGCATGTTCCTGGTGGGTGCCGACTCGATCTCCCGTGCGATCCTCTCCGCATGGGCCTGCAGCTCGCGGGATGGCCGCACCAGCGGTGTCGTGTAGATCGCCTCGTCGAACGACGTCTCCACGCCAAACAGCTTGCGGTTCGCCTCAAACTGGTCCCACGCCCTGCCGATACACAGGAGAGGGGGAGGGTGAGGGGCCAGAGAGGGGAGGGGGGAAGGGAGGGGGGGGGGATAGAGAAGCGGCGCAGTGTGTATCGCCTTGTCAAACGACGTCTCCACGCCAAAGAGCTTGCGGTTGGCCTCAAACTGGTCCCACGCCTTGCCAATACACAGGAGGAGTGGGAGGCGGGGGGAGGGGGGGGGCAGAAGGGGAGGCGGGAGGGGTTGGGGAGGGGCATGGAAGAGGCGCAATGCAAATGTTTTCATCGAACGACGTCTGCACGCCAAACAGCTTGCGGTTCGCTTCAAACTGGCCCCATGCCCTGCCGATACGCAGACGCACATACCCCCTCTCCCCTTCCCCCCACCACCATTTTCCCCCCGTTCTCCCCCCCCTCTCCCCCTCTCTCCCCCCTCTCTCCCCCCTCTCTCCCCCATACCTGGAGCTGCTTCTGAAGGTGTCTTCATCCAACCCCATCCCCTCCTCCGTTCCGTCCGGCGCCCACCGCTGCAACTCGCGCCCCTCCCCTCCTCCTGCCCCTGTGCCTGCAGGCCCCCAGCTGCCGCGTGTGGTAACCATGCTGCCGATGCTGCTGTCCGTTATGATCTCCCCGTTGGGCGCCAAGGAGGACGCCATGAGGTCAGAGCCGAATAGAGGGAGGTCCTGCGAGTGGAGGGGGTGTAAGGTAAGAGAGGAAATAGAGGGGGTGAGGTGAAATAGAGGGTTCACACCCCCCAGCGGCCCCCCAGCTGGTGCGTGCCGCAGCAGGGCACTTCACACCCCCTGCAGCCCCCCAGGGGCCGCGTGTGGTAACCATGCTGCCGATGCTGCTGTCCGTTATGATCTCCCCGTTGGGCGCCAGGGAGGACGCCAGGAGGACCGAGCCGAAGAGGGGAGGTCCTGCAAGTGAAAGGGGGGGGGGGGGGGGGGGAGGAGAGAGAGGAGGGGTGGAAGAGGAGGGGTGCAAGGAGAGGGAAAGAGATGGCGTGTGTGTGAGTGAGAGAGGAAAGGACGAGGGGTGGGTGGGCCTCACACCCCCAGCTGCCGCGAGTGGTAACCATGCTGCCAATGCTGCTGTCAGTTATGATCTCCCCAATGGGCGCGAGGGAGGAGGTAAGTAGGTCAGCACCAAAAAGAAGGAGGTCCTGTGAGTGAGGGGAGGGGGAGATAGGAGCATACCGAGAGGGAGAGGGTGGGGGGAGGGGGGAGAAGAGCGGAGGAGGAGGAAGAGATCTACCAAGGATTGGACCAGAGGGGAGGGGAGGGATGAGAAGGAGGTGTAGGGACACGGATGGGAACGGAAGAAAAAGGCAATTTGATTCACCCTTACTCTACATGCAGTGAGTACAGGAATTTCTCACTTGGACTTCAAAGATTGACACTAGAATCCTTCAGCCAAAAGAGAGAGAGAGGGGATGAAACTTGCAGAGAAAGCTTGAGGAGAGGACAGAGCTTGCTGGGAAGGCTAGGATGGGTAGCTCGCCTTGGCAATCAGCTGCACCAGGTCAGCAGCAGGCACAACCAGCGTCTTCAACGGAGGCTTCCTGGCAGCTTCCCTCACTGCAGCCGTCTCTGTGCTCTGCGCACCTGTCCCCTGCCGCACCAGCCGCGCCAACTTGAGCACCACGCCTGGCGGGGGGGGGGGGGGGGGAGTGGGTGGGAGATATATGAGGGGCAAGCAGGGGGGGGTGGGGGATAGATGGGGCTGGATGAAGCAAGCACCACCGGCCGTGCCATCTTCAGCACCACGCCTGGTGGGGGGCAGAGGAGGTGGGCAGGTGAAGGATGGGTGGGGAAAGGGACATCGGACGAAGCAAGCCGCACCAGCTGTGCCAACTGCAGCTCCACACCTCAGTCAGGTATGGTGAAACGTGGGTGGGGTCGAGCCTGGGGGATGGGACGCGGGGAGAGCAATGGGATGAGGATCAAGGCCGCACCAGCCGTGCCATTTTGCGCAGTGCACCTGGTGCGGTGGCACGTGGTTGGGCATGGTGCGAGACTATTTAAATCGCTCAAGAATCTCTCACAGTTCAAGCCTTATCACGAGCTCACGCGTTTGGTCGAATCCGAGCGAGCCTTGTTGCACAAGTATGCCTCGAACGTTTCACCTTAACCCTAGACTAATTCCAACTAAGAGAATGCTGAACCAAGTGAGGAATGGGAATGGCATAGGCCCGGAAGCAACTGTTACTTTTGAGTCGATTCAACCGCAGACCTTAACCCAAGGCTATAGCCGCCGACTAAGGGGCTGGTGAACCAAGTGAGGAATGGCACAGGCTCCGAAGTAGCGGACACTACTAACCTCAGTCATCCAACCCTGCCTTTCTCTCCTTGAACAACCTATCCCTAGGGCTTTTAATTCGGCTCACCAAAGTCCTCCCCGTTAGCACCATGGAAAACGCTAGCTCACCAAAGTCTTCCTCGTTAGCAGCATGGAAGATGCCGCAGTACGAGTCGCCCTGCACCAGTTGCACCTCCACCAGATGCCCTATCAGGCACGCGCTCATCGCCACCATCCACTCCCGGCCCCCCGCGCGCGCACCGCCCGCGCTTCCCCCGTTTGCGCTTCCCCCATTCGCGCTCTCCCCTGCAGTGACAAGCGCGCCCGTGCCAACCCCCTTTCCCGCGGCCTTTCCCGCTTGCCCTAGATCTGGCTGCGGCTGCTGCTGCGGTGGTTGCTGCAGGTGCTGCAGCGGCTGCTGCCACGCGCCTGTCAATACCCCCACCCCGCCTCCTCCCGTGTGCCAGGGGTTTCCGCCAGGTCCCCCGCGGGCCCCGCCAACTCCGCCGGCTGCGCCACCTCCCCTTCCCCACGGGTTGTCGCTTTTCCCCGGTCCGCCACGCCCCCACGCTCCGCCCGGAGCTGCGCCGCCCCCAGATCTACCGCCCTCCGCGCTGTCCCCCCATCCTGTGCTTCCCCCTCCGCCTGTTCCCGCCGCGCCTGGCCCCCCGGGCGGGGGAGACGCGGCGGCGGCGGAGCGCCAGCTGGGCTGGTCGGAGCGGGAGGGCGCAATGGGGGAGTCGCGGGAACCCGAGCTGGACCGGCCGTATCTGCCGCTCTTGCCGGCCGCCGCTGACTGATGCATTGGTGTGAGTTATAAAGGTAAGCTAAGGAGATTGGCAGTACATGTGCAAGTTTCTAAAGAGGGTGAACCTGATCTTAAATGCGAATGAGAAAAATCTCGGGGTACGAGGGATGGAGTTCCGCGTCGAGGCTGGCAGAGGGAGAACCTGCACACTCAAGATTTGGATATGAGAAAAAACTGCCCACTCTGCCAGCAAATCCCTTATCTCTACAGCAGGCGTATTGAACGTATCTCTACTTGGTCAAACCCTAAATCCGCGACAATCAAGTGAATTTGCGGAAGCCCCTAGGGTTGAAGTGACGCACGAACAACCAACAAACCAACCAACCACCTGAATCCCAACCAAACAACACCTCGCGACAGAAGTGAGCTACAGAACAATAGGCAGCGAGCTACCGTAGCTTGCGGCGGTGGTGGTGTAGCCGAGCCGCCACGCCAATCTCGAAGGGAGATGGACAGGCGAGGCAGGAATCGCACGAGCCAACCGCATGTCCTCGCGCCGAAACCCAGGCACACTTAATACCCACTCCTTGTTACAAAGCTAGTGTACTAGAGGCTTATGCTGAGATTGATTTCGGGCCTAAAAAGCAATCCACGATTCTCAAGCGTCTAACGAGTAATAAATTATGGCAGCAGCTCATGATACCCTTTTAACAACACGTTAAACCATTCTTATATAACCCAGAATCACGCGAGTGCAGCATCTATGATGGCTTTGGTTTCCGATTGGTGGATGGCAAAGCTACCAGTGGCTGGAGAAGCAGAGGGGGCACGGCCAACAAAGCGGATGGGTGTGAGTGCTGACGTGGCAGGATGATGTGGACATAGACTGTGCAATAGCGTGGCAACACGTGGCCTGATGTACGGCCATGCTCCCATGTTCTTGGGCTCCTCCTGTGATTCAAGAATGTGGCATGGCATGGCATCGCATGACATAGTATGGCATCACATACTATGGTGACTAGAGCAGCCAGGAAAAAACTCCAAGAGACCACTTAGAGGCAAGCAAAAATGCAACTGGAAAGAACCCTGCAACTGGAAAGAGCCTGAACAAGCCGAGCAAGAACCTAGGCCCACATGAGTTAGGCCCTGCAGTGAATCCAATGACCCATGCCACATGGTCAACTGCCATTGGTGCTCGCTACCTGCTGCGCAAGCACGCACACACGCACTGGAAGAAAGCGCAAACAGTACCTGAACCCACACAAGCTCGGCGGTTGTGTTATGTTTTTGAGAATTCTCAAGAACCTAACGATGGAAGAAAGTGTTATCAGTACCTGCGCCCACACGAGCTCGGCGTTGCAGTGGCTGTTGATGACCCGAGCCATGTGGTCCACCGCCATGGGCGCTATCTGCTCTATGCGCATCAGCCCCACATCCCACTGCTTCCTTGCCCTCCTTGCATGCGCCAGGGAGTAGTAAATCTGCGCAAGCATGGGGGCATGGTGTGGACGCATGGAGGGGATGTTTGTTCCAACCCCATGGATGGGTGGTCCACCGCCATGGGCGCTATCTGCTCTATGCGCATCAACCCCACATCCCACCGCTTCCTCGCCCTCCTTGCATGAGCCAGGGAGTAGTAGATCTGCTCACACATGGGGGCAGTGGACGGTGCGGGCGCATGGATGAGATGAGTGGCCCAATCCCATGGATGAGTGGATGCTATGGGAAAAACCCGATCTATGCATATCAGCCCATCTCAAACATCTTTATCGCTCTCCTTGCATGCCAAGGAGTAGAAGGTCTGCAGCATTGATGGGACGGGGAATTTGATGGCAGGAAGTCATGGGAGCATGGAGTCATGGGTAACATGGAGTCCAATTGAACACCAGATAGGTGCCATTGTGTCAATACGTGGCAGCAACTTGTGTGATGACACCTGTGTAAAATGTAGAATGTAGAGTGGAGACATGGGTAGCACTTAACATGGGTAGCATGGAGACATGGGTAGCATGGAGACATGGGTAGCATGGAGACATGGGTAGCATGGAGACATGGGTGGCATGGAGACATGGGTAGCATGGAGACATGGGTGGCATGGAGACATGGGTAGCATGGAGACATGGGTAGCATGGAGACATGGGTGGCATGGAGACATGGGTGGCATGGAGACATGGGTAGCATGGAGACATGGGTAGCATGGAGACATGGGTAGCATGGAGACATGGGTGGCATGGAGACATGGGTAGCATGGAGACATGGGTAGCATGGAGACATGGGTAGCATGGAGACATGGGTAGCATGGAGACATGGGTAGCATGGAGACATGGGTGGTAGGAGGACGGAACAAGCATGTGATGGTGGTATTGCATGATGACAGGCCTGATGGGGGAGAAAGGCGCACAGCAGCATGTGGTGCAGCACATGCCATGCCGCCACATACCATCAACCAGTGTGCCGCCACATGCCATCCACCAGTGTGCCACCACATGCCATCAACCAGTATGTCACCACATGCCATCAACCAGTGTGCCACCACATGCCATCAACCAGTGTGCCACCACATGCCATCAACCAGTGTGCCGCCACATGCCATCAACCAGTGTGCCGCCACATGCCATCAACCAGTGTGCCGCCACATGCCATCAACCAGTGTGCCGCCACATGCCATCAACCAGTGTGCCACCACATGCCATCAACCAGTGTGCCACCACATGCCATCAACCAGTGTGCCACCACATGCCATCAACCAGTGTGCCAACCACCAGTGTGCTGCCACATGCCATCAACCAGTGTGCCGCCACATGCCATCAACCAGTGTGCCACCACATGCCATCAACCAGTGCGCCACCACATGCCATCAACCAGTGTGCCACCACGTGCCATCAACCAGTGCGCCACCACATGCCATCAACCAGTGCGCCACCACATGCCATCAACCAGTGTGCCGCCACATGCCATCAACCAGTGTGCCACCACATGCCATCAACCAGTGCGCCACCACATGCCATCAACCAGTGCGCCACCACATGCCATCGACCAGTGCGCCACCACATGCCATCAACCAGTGCGCCACCACATGCCATCGACCAGTGGGCCACCACATGCCATCAACCAATGCGCCACCACATGCCATCAACCAGTGCGACACCACATCCCCAACCAGTGCGCCACCACATCCCCAACCAGTGCGCCACCACATCATCAATCAGTGTGCTCCCACACATCCCCAAACCTTCCCCGAGCACCGAAATATGTGCTCATATGACATGCGAATAATTGGTGTGAGATGCTACATGGTATCGAATTCTCTTTAAGCTAGAAAGCAGCAGCAAGTGGCAGACCCTCACATGTCACAACACATAGCACGTCATACCATCACAGGCCATGCCAAGCCATACCATCACATGCTATACCATGCCAAACCATCATATGCCATACCAAGCCATACCATCACATGCCATACCGCGGACCATGCCCATGGCTTACCTTCCCTGAGCACAAAACGAGCCGTTTCATCTTGCCAGGTGGCATCAGCATGTCGCCATGCGCATGGCTCATGTTGTCCCCCGCGTCCCCATCAGCTATCACAGGCCTGGCAGGGGAGATTAAGGAACAGCGGGATATGCGACATGCACCAAACATGGCTCGTTGTCCCCCGTGCCATATCCCTATCTGCTAAGACAGGCCTGATAGGGGAGCATAGAGAAAAGGGGGGATAGATACGCATGGGTCATGGGTCATGCCACCTTTCACATGTCACTTGTGTTGCCTCCTGTGTTCCCATCAGCTATGACCAGTCTGATAAACAGAGAGTCATGGAAACGCACAGCGCATGCATTGCACACATGACCCATGTGGTTCCCTCACATGACCCATGTGGTTCCCTCATATGACCCATGTGGTTACCACACACGACCCATATGTGGTTACCACACATGACACGCATGTCCCCAGCACATGGCTCATGCTCCCCCCCCGTCCCCATCCGCTATGACAGGCCCGACAGGGGGCCATATACATGTCCATGCATATGGGTCATGAGGTGATGACTGGCCCATGCATGTCCCCATGCACATGGCTCATGTTCCCCCCCCCGCGTCCCCATCCTCTATGGCAAGCCTGATAGGGGGGCGTTGAACAGACGGGCATGGAAGCGTGCAACACATGCATTGGAAACTCACTGGAAGAATGTGCCCGACGTGAAATGGCTGAGAGGTGAAGCACAGGGCTTGTGATGCAATAGGTACTGCAGGTTGGGAAGGGGAGGGGAGGGAGGGGGTGGGGTTGGAAGCAAATGCACAAATTACAATGTAATTGTTTTCAAGAAGCAAATGCAAGATGTCATGTTCGTTGGGGAATACTCACATAAGGGGAGAGAAAAATGAAGGGCTGATGCTGCTGTGTAAGGTGGAACGCACATCCACACAGCACACTGCTTCCTGCATGTACAGCTGTGGGATAATAATCCGGTTTTGAGAGCACAGCTCTGCACACAGCTGTCTCAAAGCAAATTCTCGTAATCACTGCATCTAGACAGCACATTGCTCCCTGCATGTGCAGCTTGGCATTTGGCCGCGTCACTCATATCACTGCTATTCTTTTCTCCTAAACTCGTGTTGTAAAATATATATGTATACAACATGCATGCCTAGATTAGGAGGTGTAGTCATTATATTTATTGGGGGGTTGTTGGTTGGGTTGACTAACCCCACATTTGGATTGGTCAAGATTGGATTTGGTCCTAGACATTTGGTTGGCACTATTCCAACCAAATGGTCCTTCGTCCCAAGACCCAACCAATCACCAAGCACCACACTTTGTGGTTGCTTACCTTCCAAGCAACCACCCCCATTGGTCCACATTGTGGCCAATCGGAGAGCACCACACTTTGTGGTTGCTTGTCCTCCAAGCTACCTCTCCCATTGGTCTACATTACGGCCAATGGGAGACCTTCCCCTCCATCTCTTCCTTGCTCCTTGTTTGTACAAAAGAGTCTCTTGGCTCCCTACTCAATCTATCTTTTTCTCCTCAAAGCTAGTTCCTTCAACTCGAACCTGTTCCTTGTCGGCACCTACTGCCCGAAGGATGCTTTTTGGGACAAACTCGGAAAGGTTTGTGACGCATCCGTGCTCAAACGCAAGTCATCATCGTCACGCATCTCAAAGTGCTTATCTTATCACCATGCACGCACCAGTGGTCCAGTGCCATGACATCACGAGCAAGGGGCATCACCTTGGGCGCCATGATGGTGGTATCACCATGCATGGCGCCCTGGCACACGCAAATCACAAGCAACTGCCACCACCTCACCTTGGGTGCCTCCACCTCACCTTGGGTGCCACCACCTCACCTTGGGTGCCACCACCTCACCTTGGGTGCCATCACCACCAGGGGCTTGGAGAAGTGCCGATTAACCT